GGAGGTCTTTCCCCCCCTTCCGGGCCGGGAGCGGCGCTCAGGCTGCCGCCGCCGGCCTTCTCGCCCTCCAGGCCACCGCGGCAATCGCCGCGGTCGCCGCCGCCRCCAGGGCCCACCCCGCCGAGCGCTGCTTGGGTTTCCCCAGGACCCTCCGGGCCAGGGCCGCCACCGACCCCTTGTAGTAGCCGCTCCGGGCCTTGTAGACCACCCCCAGGCGATGGTGGGCCGAGTGGTGCAGCTCCACCGCCACCGCGTGCAGGTCCCTCGCGCCCGAGAGGGGCCGGCCGTAGGGGACCAGGACACCTTGGAGGACGGAGGGCCCCGGCTCCCCGCTTCCGGGGGCGGAAGCTTCCACCAAAACCTCGAGCACAAAGCCGTCGGTGCGCACGTCCGTGAGCCTGGCCGAGGCAATGGCCAGGGATCCGTTTTGGACGGCCGCGAGGAGGCCGGCACCCTGGTGCGGCTGTTGGTTGTCGCTGGTCCTGCTGGGGTCGTCCACCCCAAAGGCCAGGACGTAGGCAACGAGGCTGTCCCCGTGGTCGTCGTTCATGTGCTTCATTACCCGCGGTGCGCTTTTTTTGAGGTCCTCCTCGAGCTTGTTGGCGACGGGCGCTGTGGTTTCGCTGCCGGACGCCTCGAACGGCGGCGGCGGTGCACCGTCGTTGGTTTGGTGGCTCATCGTGTTCTAGGAAGGGAACGCAACGCAACGCAACGCAACGCAATGCCAAGACCGAGTCGATGTCTACAAGAGGGAATTCAGAGCCTCTCCCATCAACTCTTTTTTTTGGCTTGCTAGTTGGTGGTCTAGAAAGTGTGTGACGCCGTATTCCTTGTTGTCGTGACTATCTTCTAGAGAGAGAGAAGAAAAATTGCATGCTCAGTGTGTGTGCTGCGCTCGGTGCAGCGTGCAGGACATCGTTTGAGTAGAAAATAACTTTGGTAGAGTGCTCTACTGTGTTAAGATACGTATCTACGATGGGCAATATCTTCGATATAGTACGGTACCGTACCTAAGATATCTACTATGAGTACTATCATTGAGAGTAAAGTCACTGTTCTATCTTGTCCATTCACGAGTGCTGGACGAATAAATATCGGAATAAGCACATCGTGCGTCATTCGCGACCACTTCGAGATCGAAATACGGCAAAAGATTCCGATTTCCCGTGAATTGTCGCCGTCGCCATCGCCATCGTCATCGGTGTTGTTCAGTTGTTCAATCAAAACAAGTTCACATCAAAAAAAATTCTACTCGTTCTATCGGTACCGGTACCGATAGAACACACTAAGAAAGTCCGCGCCTCCACCGACAAATCATTTTCTGGTCGAGGGAAAAGAATTCATTCGGTGGATAGGAATACGTATGAGCACATCGTTCCGTTCACACCTCGCCGCAACAATTTGGCACCACACTCTCCATCGATTGGGATAAGKAGTATTGGAAGGGTGACTAAGTACGGCTTTTACTACCGTACACKGAGCTAAAATTCAGTCGACGATGGCGTCCTGCCAGCGGCCCTGCCATTGGCGATCGGCATTCCGGTTCGTATTTTGGTCCTGGGCGTTGGTGGTCGTAGAAATCGAAGCCCTCCAACGCGCCACCTTTGGGAATCTGCGGGTGCTCGCCGGGCATCCACACCAGCCAAACAAATCCARTCCGAACCGAGATCGTCGGAAGTGGCAAAGGAGAACCCACCGAACGACGACATGCTACAGGCAGAATCCTCCTCGGGCCGGAACAATCCTGTATAACAMGGATCACAATGAGGAATACGACATGMATGAGGACCATTCTCCGGCATCTTGTATGTCCCGGAGGTCGTTTGCTKCAAGCGTAACGGCAAACACGGCAACGGCGTTGTTGTTTCCGCYGCGGTCCATGGCCGATGATTCTGTCGAAGAAATGGACGAAACCACAGAAGTGGAAGACATCGACGTAGATAGCGATGATGCAGAAGAKAACGGTGATGACGCGGCAGTARATGTGGTCGAATACGTGATCAAGGATTTCACTGTTTCCCTTCCGGAAAACTGGAAGGTTCTGGAGAGCTTTGACGACGAAGCAACAGCACCGCCGCATCCAACCCTGTTCTCGGCGCTCGACCCCTCCTCYGGGAGCTTTATCACGGTAGTTCAGGAGGAAGCCTGTGGCCTAGACGACTTCGCCAGATCCAGAGACTCCGGAAACAACAAGAAGAACGACAACGATATCGGCAACACGAAGGTCTGTGACTTTGTCCAGCCGGGCGAAACCGATCCGCCGCTGTTTTCGACCGAGACCTACGCCCGGGATGCCACCCGGCTGCTGATCCGCCACGACGACCGCCTCAAGCAAAACGAAGCGGCGGTTGGGGGCAGCAGCATCAGCAAGCTGGCAAGCACGAATCTGATTGCCTCCGGGACCTCCTTTGCCAAGGGCATGCTGGACCCTTCGCTCAAAACCTTTGCGGAGTTTGAGACGCGGTCGGCGGTGCTRGAGCTGGAGGCGGCCACTACCACYCTCAGCCTCTCGCAGGCCGAGCCGATCGAGCAGAGGGTCCTGGCCAAAGCGGTGGCGACAACCACTACCATCACGAGGACGACGACGACCGACGACAATGACAAAAACGACGAAAAAGAAGGCAATGACCCTGACAATGACAATGACACTGACGAAAACGAAAACGAAAACGAAGACGAAGACGAACAGAAGGAGTCTGAGTCGACGACTGAGGAAGAGGATACAAGCAATAGCCCGCCTACGAAAGAAGTGGATTCGCCCACAATGTCTGCAACAGACTCGAATACCAGTGGCACAAGCCCCGACCAAACAACATCTGTCGGCTCCGCCACAGAGTCGAGTGAAGCACAGCTTCCGGACCCCACAACACCAGAGGAAACGCAACCGCCCGAGCCGATCGATGGCACAAACGTTGTCCCCGCCGAAACGACCTCTGTGGACAATTTGACGCCCGAAGCGGCACCGCCACCTCCCTCAGAACCCGAAACAGCAAATCTTCCACCCATTCCGGAATCGGAAGAGGGGATCGATGCCACCCCAGCTGAAATGCCCGCGTTGTCGGATGCAGAACCAACCCTAGAAGCAGATATGACACCAATAGATATGCAAGGAGCCGAACGCAGGACGGAAGTTGTAGCAAGCAGCAATGGTGGAGAGCTAGATACAAACACCGACCCCCTAGATATTCCCAATACCGATCTCGCATTGGATACCTCCAAAAGTGTCATGTCGGCACTGCTGGCGTTGGTGGTGCCCGATACACCAAACAACGACCTCGGAGAACCTCTCACCGAGATCCCGACCACAGACCAACCGGAAGTAGCATCGGTAGAGCCATTACTCGCCGCAACCACTCCCTCCCCGACGGTGGCGATCGAACAAGACGTGACCGAGAACAAAGACTCGGTCGAACCCGAAGATTCGGAATCGGAGGCGAGTCCTGCTATAGCAAGCCGGGAAACCACCRACACTACAGAAGCTATACCCGAKCCCACGRCACGCGAAGAAACACCAACCTCCGGAAACCCCAACCCCGGCAAGGCGGCGCTGCCGTCACCTCAACCTCCCACAAGCAGCGATGTGTCGAGCGAGGAAGCTGATGAYGGACTAACTACGATCACCGACACGATCACATCCACCACGGTGGTGAGCATTTGGTTGACCGCACCGGTCGACTCATGGGAAACACCGGCGACGGGAAACCGGCTACTAGAGATCTGGGAGAGCGTCACCTACAACAAAAACAGCAGTAGCAAAAGCGGCAAAAGGGTTGGAAACGTAGAGACAAACGACGAAGACGACGAGACACTGAACGCACAGCTCCTCTTGATGAACCGGTGACCGCAATTTTGGTTTCGTTGGCAACACGCCTAGACGTAGTAGTAGTTGTTGTTAATAAAATAGAATACAGTACATGATAGCAATGTTCCTACTGCCCTGCTCTCTACCGTAGATTGATAGAAAGACAAAGCATTCTCTTACAATATACGACTTGGTTTTATTTGGACTAGTCCCATGTTATTTCGAAAACCATTTTTCGAAATCGAAGGAACCGCCTGTTTCTTATCTCAGGCGGTATTTGGACACTGCGTTGTGTTGCGGTGCAATGTGTTTTGTTCCTTTTTGTTGCGTTTTGTTGCTGCATAGGATTACAAGCCATAGCAGGGTCTGAGATGTGCCGAAGTATGCGTCGTACTAATCCGATTTACTTTCTTTGACCGCCTCGACGATAAACATGGGATCTCGGTATCCATTATCTGGAAGAGTAGCTGTGATATCAAAGGCTTTGCGGGGTTCAAAACCGCCCGCATACTGAAAGTACCCATTGATCAATTCAAGGTGCTGACGATCATTCATTTGTAGCCACTGCARTCAAGGCATGAGCGGTAAGAAACACGACGAAGGGTGAGAAGTCCGAAGTACATCCTAATGCAACCGAAACAAGCTTGGCTATGCAACAGAATATGAAAAAAACAGGAATAACAGCAGCGTACGGACCATCGCAATAGCCTTCGTCGGAAAGCACCGATTTGATTGAGAGATAATGGCCTTGCCCCCGGGACGCAACACACGGTGAACTTCTTTCAAAACCTTGACGGGTTCGATCAGGTAGTCGATGGATACGACACACGTCACCACATCAAAGGAGTTGTCCTTGTAGGGAAGCGTTGGATCCTCATTGAGATCTCGGGCCTCGAATCCACCCGTCAGCTGATCGTTGAATCCCAGTTCGAGACCGCTGATGCCGGTGGCACTGATGCTCTTCATGGTCTCGGGGAATTCCAACGGGTAATGGGAGACCCACGAGGAACAAATGTCCAAAATGTCGGACTTGGCGGGTATGTTTTTGCGGTAGTATTGTGTGAGCGAGGCAACCGCTGGTTCGTCAATGTGGTAAACCAGCTTAGGAATGGTGTAAAATCCCTTGTCGTTGCTGGGATCGCTCCGGGAAAAGTCTTGCTCCTTAAAGGGCCATTCCTCCGGCCAGGTCTGGACCAGCCGAACGGGTTGTACGGGGAACTCATACGGGGTCGAATCTCCCGTCATGCGCCGCACCAGAATGCCCCGGGTACGGGGATTACCACTCCCGTCGTCTCCAAGGGACATCTGGAGTTCCTTGTCGATGTAGCGAGGGTWCTGGCTCCCGGCAGCAACGGCCTTGGCCTCGCACTGTTCCGGATTGGTATTGGCAGCAACAAATCCCGCCGTCCCAGAGGCAAAGGTGGCCGCAGAGGCCGAAAGGAACTTGGCTCGATCGAGGACTTTTACCATTGCGTTCGTTCGAGGGTTGATTTTGTGGTGAGCGGAAGCCTTCAGACAAGAAAACGCCGTTGCACAATGGTGCATGGGAACGGCAATTGCTACGATGCAAATGCACAAAAAGGTTGATTCGAACAACGAGATGGGTGCAGTATGGTCTCTTCGGGCCTTCCTTTGGTTGATTGCTCTGCGATGCATGCTATTTTTTTCCTTCGGAAAGGATTCGCGATTTTGGGCAAACTATTCGCTGCGAACGAATTAACTCGTTTTCGACGTCTATTCGTGCTGTCCAAAAAGACAATTCAATGACAATGATATGTTGTTCTTATCGTTACAACACTTGTGATATTCAACGAAGCAATCAAGTCATCGATTGCAACTTGCAAAAATGAGGATGATGGTGATGATGATGGTTGCTGACGATGATATCGGCATGAGTATGGTACGGCACTCGTACGGACATGATGGTAATTCCTGACTACAGTTTTCTTCTAAATGCTGAGAACTCGTACTCGTACTCGTACCGGTACGTTAGAACAAGCCGGTATCGTTCCTGGTTTTCGGCAAGAAAAAGATCTTTCAATGAGGTTTAGGGTTTAAATGAAGTATCTTAAACTTTAAACCCCTTTTTAATTCCCTCAAATATCAAAAGGGTAKATCCCAAAAAGCCRAAAGCGAGTACGACTAGCCGTTAAGAATGAAYGTACGGCACCCGTAKCCATCCTTGTCGTTAAAATAATTTTGGCGAGCGAGGTGACCCAGGATTT